TGGATGTACAACTAATATAATTATTTGAAAAGATGACTGTGAGCAACCAGGTGCCAGCTGGAGCCGCCTACCAGCCAGCCTTGCGAAGACAGAATCGTGCTCTGGCTCCCGTCGCTAAGCGCCCGCGGTGAAATGGTTTGTGTGTCATTTAATTTCATGAATACAGGGGATTACCAGGGCAATTAAAAAACGTTAGAATTATTTTAAGCCTTGGAAGAGAAGTAGAATAGTCATACCTCCTCTCTGAGTCTACTTCATATACTGCTTGACACCAACCAAAAGTGCAATAAAACAAAACTGTGGCTGAGCCTGATCAAAGTTTGAAGACACACAAAGAACGAATGAGGTAACCATCAGTGGAACCTTTGTAAGGGTTTTCCATTCATTCACTCATTCATTCATCCTCTCCCCCTGTGCCTGACTGCCTAATGTGAATTTAAGGCAGGAAAAAAAAAAAAATCACTTTTTATTAGGAAAATATTATATATAAAATTTATTGAGACTCTAGCTTATAAAAACTATGATCTATTGGGTCTAAAGGTGTACACCAATATCATTGGTGTTACCTGGGAACCTGTTAGAAATGCAAATTCTTGACCCTTATCCCAGACCCGAATTGGACTTGGGGGTGGGTCCTGAGACCCTGCCTGCTGATTCTGTTGCAGCTCACGCACGTATTGAGAACCACTGTTCAGACGGACCTGCAGAAACTTATTAAAAACCTGAAAATGAGATGTAGTTCTTTCCAGTGGCAACTAAAAGTTGAAAAATACTGAGCAAGAAAGATGCATCTGGGCTAGGCGCGGTGGCTCACGCCTATAATCCAGCACTCTGGGAAGCTAAGTTGGGAGGATCGCTCAAGGTCAGGAGTTCAAGACCAGCCTGAGCAAGAGCAAGATCCCTTCTCTACTAAAAATAGAAAGAAATTATCTGGACAAAAAATATATATATATTAGCCAGGCATGGTGGCACATGCCTGTAGTCCAGCTACTCGGGAGGCTGAGGCAGAAGGATCGCTTGAGCACAGGAATTTGAGGTTGCTGTGAGCTAGGCTGATGCCACAGCACTCTAGCCCAGGCAACAGAGCCAGACTCTGTCTCAAAAAAAAAAGCATCTGATTTCTTATTGAACTAAACCCAAAAATTTGTTTCTCAGCTGAAACAGAAAACACAGTCATATCACACAAAATTTGTTTGGGACACTGTTCAAAGTTATGATAAGAGCAAGGACACAGCTGGCTAGGAAAGCACGTAAAATGATCACGTGGATTTGGCACAAAAATGGCCCAAAGATCTGCGGGGAGAGGGAGGTGGCCAGAAAGGGACGGGTACAAGCGTGGGACTGCACGGAGGCCGTGGCTCTGGGCTTGCTTGGGAGTCTCCCGGGTGGAAGGTACTCTTTGGAAGTCAGAGCAGTATTTCCATTTATAAAATGAAAAAGCAGGGTATGTTTTCATTACTAGAAACACCCTAGAAAACAGCGCTTTGTGTTGATCCATGATTGACTCTTCCGTGAGGAAAGCTCAGAAATGTATCTCAGCAGCTCCTGCCACGTAGCAACCCTGACCGACTGAGCTGAGAACGACAGTCCGCCCTCAGTGCAGCAGGAGCTCGGAGGGCGCCCAGGAGGAGCTGCCTCTGCAGGGAAGACGCCAGAACTCAGCACGGGCTCCGCAGTCTGCGGGAAGGTGGTGAATTCTGCTCCAGTAGGGTCTGCGTAGGGCGATTCTTAGTAGAAAGGAGGATGGGACTGCCTAGGTCTCGACTCCCCACACACTCGGGCCTTGCTGTTAGGGTTCCGACAGGAGCGCCTCTGACTGAATGCCAAGCTCCCCGCAGTGCGGCAGCAAGCAGGGACATGACCGGGCCTCACTCCACTTCAGACTGAAAGTTTGCACATGCATTTAACAAAAGTAAAGTTTACTAAGTACTTGTGTGACCAGCACCGTGTGCTGGAGACAGGAGGCACACAGGGATGAGTGAGACACAATTTCTGTTCTCAGGAAGTTCGTGAGTTGGGGAGGAAACCATGGAAATACATCACTGGTCATTAAAACAAGTGTGTATGAGGTACAGAGGGGGTGCGGGGGGCACGACGGGGCACTTGAGGTGTAGAGAGAGAGCCTGAGAGGCAGAGCACACGGACGGGAGGCTGGCTGACAGTCAGGAACAAGGACGGGCCAGACAGGGCTACAGAGAAGAGGCCTGATGGCTGTTGCTTGTTTCTGCCACCCAGCACCCATTTCCCTTCTGGCTAGAGGAAAGGCTTGCTTTAGAGCAGTGGTCCTGGCGAATGAAGGCGGTTCTGTCACTCAGGAGACACTTGGTAACATCTGAAGACAGCTTTCATTTTCACACTGAAGGAGTGCTACTAGTGCGACGCCTCTAGAACCATCCCTCCGAGCACAGGATAGGCCCCACAACGGAAACTCATCCGGTCCCCAAGCTCCACCAGTTCCCAGGTGGAGGCGTCCTGCAGTGGGCCAGCGAATGCAGCCTGATGGACTCTCCACCAGCGTGTCCTCCTGGCTGTCACCTCACCCAGTGAGGGCAGCCAGATGTGTCTTCTAGGAACTGGAGTCTTGAGCAGAGTGAGAAAAGGTCTGTAGACGACTGGAACTGACCCATCCTGGCTCCAGCACCCTGAGGAACATACCAGTTCCCTCTGCCTGGACCCCCCGAGCTGCTCTTCCCAGGCTGGTTCTGACTTCTCCCTCTGACTCTGTGGCCTTCTCCATATTGTTCCAAGAAAATTCCTTTTCTGATTTGGTAAGCCAGAGTTGGTTCTATTTCTTTTAAGATGATTCTCAGTTGATAAAAAAAAAAAAAGTCAGTTCACAAGTTATTAAAAGGGATTTAATAATGTCTGGGGAACACTGATGTTTTTGTTTGATCAAGGACCAGCTTTGTGGACCTAGGGTTTTCATTAGAAGCAGGGCTTTTTTTGTTGTTGTTCATTTCATTTAAATGACTTTTGTCTTTTCCTCTGATTCATGAAATCCAGGTGATATGCAAGCAAGCTTTGATGCCAGATTTCTCCTTCTCAAGTTCACTGGGGAAGCAGGGGCTGTTCTTGGCTAAAGGGCAGAGAAGAGTGACTCACTGCCATGGAGCCTGGTCAGAGTGCAGCAGGAGGCGTGAGGGGGACCGGAAGAGGCAGAGGACTGCCCTGATAGCCTGTGGGTCCTCCTGAAACTGGCTCCTTCCTTGTGGAGTGGGGAAAGGAAACACCCTTGCTTGTGGGTTTCCAGGGTGCAAAAGAAGTTCCTGGAGTGGGTGTCCAAGGCTGCTAGGAGACAGGAGGCCTGGCTGCTCCACATCTAGGGGCCAGGTGAATGCAGCCCTGAACCAGGAATGACAGGCATCTAGAAGCTAAGATGGCTGAGACAAACAGCTCATCAAAGCCAAAAGCTGATCATAGCCTTGTATTTCAGCCACAGCACTGGACTTAGTTTAAATGAATTAATTAAGTTCCATTAGCCAGCTTTATATTTAAGGCCAAGGGTATCACTTAGGAGACAGTCCGGTCAACCAAGAAGAGCCTCAGGCTCTTAAAAGGAAATGTCCTGGGGACCCCTTACTGGGACAACAGCCCCAGGCTTTCAAAGTTGGCAGAGTAACTTCCCTGTGGTTCCACGAACAGCCTCGGGGGCACAAACATGACCTGATTCTGCAATAAGTTCTATTAATATAACTTATAATTTCAGTCTAATTCTCCTCTTCTGACTATATAAAAGTTTTCCTTGGAAGGAGTGCTAAGGAACAGAGAGAAAAAATAAATTCTTCCTTTTCTAAATAAACCTTTAGGTGACTCTAAAGAAAGCAATACATCCTGATTGCTAACATAAGGGTTTGGTAAGCGATTACCCTGGGTTAATTAACTGGTGAAGAGACCTCAGACCAGTCACTTAACTTTCTAACCCTGGTTTCTGCTACAGGCAATCTGAGTAAATGTAAAATGTTACAGTTTAGCATAATGTTTGAAGTCCACAACATTGGCATAATGTCATCTACTTTGCTAGATTGTTATAAGGATTAAATAAGATAGAGCGTTTAACACACAGAAATGCTCAATAACTGGCAATAATAACAATCAGACCTACTTCCCAGTTCAAGAGTTGAAGGCTGAGGTTGCTTATTATTTCTGCACAAGTTGAATTCCAAAACATTGGTCTACGGTTAAGTATTTAGGACACTATCATAAAACTCACAATCATAAGCTAAAAGCTAATTATCCAGCTCATGAATCACTGCTCAATTTACTTTTTTCTTCTTTTGCCATCTGCTTTTTTATTAGATAACTGTTTACTAAAGGGAACAAAAAGATGGAACTAACATGGATCCATTTTTCTACCTACCAGGAGCTGTGACAGAAGGGTTGTCGCTGGGAGGATGGGGAGGCTGGGGAGGCTGGGACAATGGGTAGCGGTGACAGCTGCACAACACTGAGTGCAAGACACTGTGAGTGCCTCGGAACTGCACACTTAAAAATGCTCAAGATGGTAAACTGTATGGCACATATGGTATTTACCACAATTAGAAAAAAAAAGGCGAGATCAAAAGTACTAAGACAGAGCCTTTGCTTTGCCCGGATGTGCAGCTGTCTGCGCTACTCTGTCCTCAGTCATGAAACATAACAAGAACTTGGAGGTACCTGCACCTGGGAGTGAGTGAGCAGGAGGCCTGAGTATTCCCAGCACCACCACCAACTCTAAAATCCATCGTAATAGTTCATGGCTGTATTTTCTGCTGAAATAATTATATGTGCCAAACTCAGCTTAGACTGATTGAGAGTCACAGCTACAAAGGCTGGCCTGGCAGTTTGAAGAATCTTGAGTGAATTTTATGAGATCAGAATCCTCATTCCAGATCTGTCTCTCCCAAGCCTGGGGCGATTGTATGGCTCACCTTCTCCCCTTTGAAGTTCTTCTCTGCTACAAGGCTGTGGTTACCCACACCCTTTTCGAAAGGTGGATTCCCACTATCTACAATCAGTTCTTGGTAAAATCAGACTATCGGCCAGAAAGTGAAATTCCTCTCTTCCTTTGAACTGGAAAAGACTCTGTTGCTGCCCAGGCTGGGTGAGTATCTGTCGCGTTCACCTACGAGGCTGTGTCTCTGTGGAATTACTGCATGGACTGACGTGGAGCCTCTGAACTCGTGCTAGACAGAAGTTTCCAGCAAGGACAGCCCCACATATTTGCTCTGTTTACACATTAGTTTATTTTAATTTCGTTGTCAGATTTAGTAATTCCATTTACAATTACATTTATGGGTTACAAAACATTTTGCCTTTTGAAGCTCAATGTCTTCCTCAAACAAACACACCCACACATTAAACATGCACACACCCTTTTAAAAAATCAGTGCATTTACAAAAGGGAGGCCTTGGCCTTGAGAATGCAGGTGCTCTCCTCTAGCTCTTTCTTCCAAAAAGCTCTCAGCTATTTCAGAGGCTACGCTGGGTAAATATCTGAACAAGCCAAAGATTAGGGATTCTATTTACTTGGCTATTATTCTGGGCTGCCATTTACCTCTATTACTGAAACTATGTCGTAATCCTAGAGCCACTAAATTCTAACTCTGATCCCAGGACATGCTATTCCTCGTTTATTCCTGTTACGCTATGGAATAAAGGAAGGTTTCTGCCAGCGAATGTGTTTTAAAGTTCCAAATTTTGCTCTGCATTCGTGCGTTCATGCATTCACATTCAACAAATCTTGTTTTGCTATAAAATCATTTTACTGTATGTAAGGCAATGGATACTTTATCAATTCTAGTCAGCATATGCCACTTTTCAGATTTGTCCTCATGGCACCTTACCCTGAGAACTCAACAATATCTTCCTTGAGCATCAGTGGTATTCCTGACAAGGCAATTCAGTTGCCAAAAATTATAAAAGAGCAAGGGGAAAAATACAGTGGAATGAATATGCATGTACGTATTTCCAAAGCAAAAGCTTCCTGGTATAACCTGAAAAAGAAGTTTAAGGAATTACCAGCCCACACAAGGTGAGTCAGAGTGCCCACATCTGAATCCTAGTCCCACCACTTGCTGCTGTGTGACCTCCGCATGTGGTTACTTACCACACACCCCCGCCCCCACTTAGAGAATTAAATGAGATTATACATGCAATGTGCATAGCACTTGGCATATCAAAAACGCTCAATAAATGCTTTTAGCTGTAGTTATTGTTATTGCTCTCATTATTGTTGCTATTGCTACTAGTGTAACTCTATGTTGGATATTAACTGGTAAAACTAATTTCTGCTACTTTTATATTTCTAGAGTTGAATGGACAGGAGAGAGTTACAGTGTAAGTATTACTTGTCTTTGGAAAATCAGCCTATAAGGCCACTGGGCATTTAAATAAAATCCCTATCCTAATGTGAAATGCATGTACATGAAAAGGAAGACAAAAAAGAGCCTAGTGTTGAAATCCCAATGATTTTTGAATGTACAATTTGGGATTTAAAAAAATTTTTCTAAAAAGCTCAGTTTTCTTTAAACTGCTTCAAGGGAAAATATAAGTGGATGCTGGCCTTCCTCCTGACTCTACAGCGCAATCAAACCAAACACACGTTTAGTACTGTAATGTCCTACCCGACACACAATAACTTACGTGATGGGTTAGAAAAAGAACTCGATAATGCTATTCAAATATTTGCGGCGTGCAAACTCTGAGGTTAAACAGGGATTATTCTATAAAAAAACTTTAATGTAAAGATGAACTATTAAATATAAAAGAAAATCAGGCTTCAGTTTGATAATTCCTTAATCTAATTTCATTATTAATAAAGTTACATAATGGTCAAAGGGAAAAGTTTCTTTTAGAGATAGTTAAATAGATTCAAATAAACAGTCGATATCTTGTAAACGAACTTTCATGAAATGATCCAGTTAAACCAAGAGAAATGTCCCTGCCCCTATGTACTCTGGCAACATTTCAAACACCAGGTGGTTAGCAAATGTCAGTTTTAATTCTTCAACTAAAATCTCCTGCATATCTCTATGATTATTACTATTGTTTAACCTCTCATAGGTGTGCCTTTTACATGTGAATCTGCCAGTGTTTCCCCAACGTCAGTCCTGCCTGAGGCACCCAGGACTCCTCATTTCCTCAGCTCTTGAAGCTCAGTGCTTCAGGGTGTCAAGCAGGAAAACTAAGAATCTAGGCCAGAGCTTGGGGGAAATGACATCTGCTTTTCTGACCTGTTTTAGCCCACTGCCGACAGCACACATTTGTAACCACATGTTAAAACGCCATCTGTAATGGCCATCTTTGAAGAACATTTTACGATGTTTCCATTAAGCAATCAAAGCACTGAAAGAATATGATCTGCATTCCTTTTAGAAAGTATGCATATGGTAAAAAATGGAACAGTTATATATTTTTCGGAATGAGTCTACCATAAGATATTTACCTGGGGGAAAATAAAAGCTCCCAGACCTCAGATAAAGTCACACTCTGGACACATTATCTCAAATGGCTACACAAATACAACAGAGACCCATCAAATGTGTACAGCAAGTAGATAATACAGCTTACTATAAGACAAAGCTACCAAACAAGTACTACCCACCCAACGTAACCAGCCACAAAAAAGAAGCTTAAGAAGTCAACAGTAATCAAGAACGCCTGACTCAGAGCGGGTTTGCGCGAGGAGCCCAGGCCCGGGTGGCAGAAGGCCCCGCCGCTGGGCCGATCCTGACCGTGCGGCTCACGGCTCTGAGCGGAAGCGCAAGTTACTCCGCTCCTCATTTCCCCACATGGCAAACGGAGATAACTCGACCCACGAAATTAGCGTTAGGGAGACTAAAGACGCTGTCTGTGCCCGTGTCTGGTGCACTTTCATTCTGTCATCGTCCCTCGGCCTTTCCTACAGGAGAATCTCCTTCCCACATGCTGTTTAGAACAGAGTACCATCTGCAATGATTTAGGCAGGAATTCTGATGCCCAGGGCTTAGAAAAAGGTGCTCGGCTATGACCTGTAAGAACCTAAATGGGAGCAGGCAGTGAGCCGCCACTCTCCTCACAGGGACCCCTGCTTACTATCCCTGCTATCTAGTTGTTTTACAGCCAATTCTCACTTGCCCTGTGGGGAGCACTGAGCACTGTGCTGAAACTCTAAGTGCCTCAAACGTGTGTGTGTGTGTGTGTGTGTGTGTGTGTGTGTGTGTGTGTGTGGTAGCACAGAGTTGACAGGAGATTTACAGTTCCAAGTTTAAATTCTGCATGCCTAAAAGTTAGTTTCCCAGAGGCTTTTCATCATCTTTACTAGCAAAAATTATGCTGGTTGAATTTAGTCACTAGAAAACTGAGGATCAAATAGGAAAAAAAAAAAAAAATGCAAGGATAGTAGAAGCTCCTGGGTTAAGGTTAGCAGAAGAAAAGATCTATCATTTCCTGGCAAAGGATGACTTTCTTTTTGGTCTAAAGACATCAATATGCCATGTGGCTTCTATTGCCCTAAAGTGCCCATCGGTTTCTAGTACAGAAGTATGCAGTTATCCACCTGATGTGTTAAAACACCATAACCCACAGGGGTTACTTACTCCTGGTGTTCCAAAGTCAATTTATGTAGAAAATTGAAAAACTGCCACTTTGTCCATGAGGGCATTTCACTTGTAATACCCACATATTTCCTTTTTAAAATATCTGTATCTTTGAAATACTGACCTTGTATCAATATTTTATCTTTAGTTTTCTGTATCTCAAATCCTATGAATCTAGTTAGAACAAAGTTTGACCTTTTCCTTCCTATTTATAAGCAAAGTACATTTGAGTAGCTATTAAATATTAAAGGGTGGATGCCTCTGGTCTTTATAGAACGCTGCCTGTCTCTAAGAATAGACTGGACGTATTTGGGGAACGGCATCTGGCATACGCAGACTAGACTCCAAGACCTGATCCTCATTTCTAGAGCAAGTAATCGGGAAGCACAGAGCCTTCCTGAGGGTTGGCAGTCTCAGTGCATCACCCTTCCCCAGTGCCCACTCAACCCCTGGCTGCCTCATCTGGTCACCTAAATGGCACAGAATACAAAGGCATCTCTTCGAGCGGGTCAGGGATGGGGTGCTAAACTCCAGGAGACCTGCAGTCCCCAAGCCCTGTGTCATGGTGCAGGCCACACTGGTCCAGAGAGGGCACCTTCATGCAATTCCACTTCCCAGAGGAGGGTTCTGGCTTTACTTCTCTGTGCCCCTCATACACACACACTCTGATCTATATAAGTGGAGGGTCCATACATTCTTTTCTTTTTGAGACAGTCTCTCACTCTGTGGCCCGGGGTAGAGTGTGGTGGCACCATGGTAGCTCACTGCAATCTCAAACTCCTGGGGTCAAGAGATCCTCCTGGCCCAACCTCCTGACTAGCTGGGACTACAGGTGTGCACCACCATACCTGCCTAATTTTTTCTATTTTTTGGTAGAGATAGGGTCTTGCTCTTACTCAGGCCGGTCTCAAACTCCTGACGTCAAGTGATCCTCCCGCCTCAGCCTCCCAGAGCGTTAGGAATGCAGGCGTGAGCCACTGCGCCCGGCCCATATGTAATATTATTTATTTTTGTGTTCCCTAAGTGCCTGGTTAGCAGTGAGTAGTCAATAAATGTATGCTAAGCTTAAACGAATTAACGCCATTGACAATTAACACAAGACTCTTTCCATTCTGTCAGATTATTCACTGGTCACTGACCTAAGGACCTGGAAGCAATATATTCTGAGAGAAGGGTATCTGGACAGCGTTTCAACCTTCGGCTATGGCGGTGGTGGGGCTAAAAGCAAGCGCTGCTGGAGGCCAAAACACACACACGGTACCTGGGAGGAGGATGAGACATCAAAAGAAGGTGTTAAAGGCCAAAGCGTTCAAGGACAGCTTGGCCCAGGTTGGCGAAGGCTGCTGAGTGGGTGCGGTGGGGCGAGGCCGAACAGGGGCAGGGGCTGACACACAGACACTGGAGCAGGCTTGATGACAAGAGGAGGAAGGGCGGGAAGGCAGGAAGGGGACAGGCCACACGAAACGAGGGTGTACAGAGCACCTTTGCTATGTATAGAGATTTTCTTTTACATTAAAGAACTTCATAGAAATACTTAGGTAATAAAAAAATTTCCAGAACCAGACAAATAAAAACCTGTTCCTATTCTGATAATCACAACTTTTTTTTATGGCACAAGAAACATTTGATCTTGTAAGCGTGTCTGCCATCCGTGTATTCACTCAGGCATCAAATATCGGTCGAAGGCCTGTGTGCCCAGCTCCGTAACGGGCTGTGGGTACAGCTGTGAACACGGCGGTCAGTTTCTGTCCCCTCAAAGAGCTCAGACGTTACTGAGGGGCAGAGACCGTAAACCAGTAAGTGAAATGTTGAAATTATGTCAGGAAGTAAACATGTGCTATGCAGAGAGAGCAAGGCAGATCAAGGGGACAGAGTGGCGGGGAGGCCACTCTGACTACAGGGGACACCATGAGGAGACTCTATATTCATAAACTTTTGAGCAACCCATCAAAATTCATCAGAAGGATTTAGTAATACTTCCAACAGCATAGTTTTGCTTGGCATGCTGGCCGTTTTAAATCATCTTATCTTTTAATATTTAATACATTGCGTGAGGGGATTTCCTCCTAAGTCACTCACACATGTAAAATACACCCTGGGGTGGGCACTTGTCCCAAGCCAAGGCCCAAGTCCTCTGAGGCATTCTGGAATTTATTTATGTGGAGCCTCCATGCCCAGGGGGCACAGGTGCTGGCTAAGTCAGGCAGAATCTGTCATGTGTTAATGCTTATCTCTCCCTTGAAAATCTCACTTGATTGAAAAAATAAAAAGCAAAGAGACATTCTAAAACACAGACTTAGGAGTAACATGCAAAGGCAGCATGCATTTACTATTCGCACACAGTGCTGGGCACGCCAGCTTTGCCACACGGCGCCAATATTTAGGGATTACTCGCATTGCATGATTAAATGTTAACGGTATGTTTTAAAACTGAAAGTAATAACTACCACTCATTTTCAGTTCTATAAAACAATGTAAAACGCCTTTTCTGTTTAAGTAACTGTGTATATGCTTGACGATACGGAAAATCAGTCAAGCTGGTGTTGAACAATGGCTGTTTATTTAGCTTTCTTGTTTTAAATGTCAGCTGCATTTCTGCTGACAGACAGGGCTTATTGCTCCTTGACTGCCATCATGTTTGCACTGTGCAAAAACACCAGCCGTAAAGCCCCACGCTAAGCACATTTGGGCTATTAGGTTAGTAATCAGGTTATTAAAAAACAATAAAGGCATCAACACTTGTTACCTAAGATGCCGTCAACAAGACATTAAACTTTCAAAGTGGACTGAATATTTTGGGTCCATTTGCATAAATGTGTCATTCTGTCAATTAGAGTGTCTAAAACTGAAATGAGCTTCTTTGTGAAGAAGCGAGTTTCCCACCCTCAGAACCATGCGGGCAGAGGGGTCTCCTCTAGCCCGTTCTGTGCAGGGTCGCTGCAGCCACTCAGGAAGCGAAACCCTTGGCCCAAGAGCTTCTTGGGCTGATTTCTCCACGGAGGATGCATCGTGGAGGGCAGTGGGTCTCGCTCGTGCTTCTCAGTTTCCATCCTGTTCTTTCTTATACAGCTGCTGCCGCAACCACATGGCCGTCTCCCAGTAGCTAAAGTGAGGGGAGCCTGGGGGTCACCCATGACACCCTGCTCACTCACCTCCACGCCACATCAATCCCAAGAGTTGTTGATTTCAAGTCTCAAATCTTTCTTTAATCAGTCAATTTCTTTTCATCCGACTGCCTGCTCTTGTGGTCCTGGCCACCCTCACCTTTCACCAGGTTACTGCCATCAGCAAGGGCCCTTTTCAAATCGAACCTTACCCCCTGGCCCCCTCCTAATCCATCTGTCCCTGTATCCCATGGATTCTGTAAAACATCAATCTGATCTTGTCACTGCCTGCCTTAAGAATCCCATCAAGGGTTTCTCACGGGCCTCAGAGTAAATGCCAGTGATTTTTCACGGCATCTACAGTGAGCTGCGACCTGAAGCCATCCACCGCCAGCCTTGCTCGTTCTGTGCCTGTTGCCCCCTGGGCCCGCCCCTGGCTGCCAAGGAGCAGGGAATGTGGCAACAGAGTCATGGCGTGGGCTGAACCACGGGGTGGCCGCATCATTGCCAAAAATCTTCCCAAGGAGGTTTTTTAAGTAAACTTTTAATTTTAGGATAGTTGTATGTTTACTGAAAAGCTGTGATAGCACAGAGCCAGTTCCATTATTAATATCTTACATTGCTGTGGCACATTTGGTGCAAGTAAGGAACCAATATTGATAGAATATCCACTAAAGACATACTTTATTCAGATTGCCTTAGGCTTTACCTAATGTCCTTTTTCTGTTCCAGGATCTCATTCAGGAGACCGCACTACACGTAGCTGCCATGACTCCTGAGGCTCCTCCAGACTGGGATCGTTTCTCAGACCTTCCTTGTTTCCGATGGCCTGGACAGTGTTGAGGAACACTGATCAGGTGTTTGGTGGAAGGTCCTCACTTTGGTCTGTCTGTGTTTTTCTCATCATGAGACTGGGGCTGTGGGTTTTGCGGAGGAAGACACAGAGGTGAAGTGCTCTTCTCATCACATCTATCAAGGGTACGTACTACCCGCGTGGCCTGTCACTGCTGACGTTGACCCCGATCGCCTGGCTGAGGGGGGTGTTTGTCAGCTTTCTCCACTGAAAGGTGACTCCTCCTTTTCCCTTTCCATGCTGTGCTCTGTGGAAGGAAGTCACTCCACTCTGCACAGCCCACGCTGGAGGGGTGGGGAGCCATGCGCCACACTTCCTTGAGCGGGGAGCATCCACATTCATTATTTGAAATTCTCCATGGGAGTATTTGTTTATTCTATTCTACTCCATTCATGTATTTACTTAATCATTTACATCAGCATGGACTCATGGATATAAATCTCATACTCTGCATTATATTCCAAAAGCAGTTATTCATTTGATTGTTCAAACTGTCCCAACTTTGGCCACTGGAAGCTTTTAGTGGCACCTCACTCTCTGTGACAGACATACCCATCACTATGTGCATTTCTGGGCACAAAATTTCCAGCACTACAAGATGCTCTGGGCTCATCTTGTAGTTTCCTTGCTCCAGCCCTAGACTCTGCCATTTCTCCAAGGAGCCCTGATTCTTTTTTATCCTGGAGAATGGTATAAACCCAACATCTGGTCTGGGTATGTTCAGTGTTACTGGGACCAAGAAGGTTTTTAAAGAAAAGTGTAGATATCTTTATATATTGTTTGTATTCATCTTCTTGGGGCATAGGAGTGATCTTTTGGAGCATAAATCTTAATTGTTTTTTGAAAGAAAGTAATATTTAATAAGCTAGATGAGATCATGTAAGATAATTATGGCAAAAGTGAATGTGTTTTGGAGACTATAACGCTCTGCAGAAATGTAAAGTATTATGATTCTAATAAGCTTAAGGTAAGGCCCCATGGGCTTCCAGGCTCTGGAAGCCAATCTGGCAACATGGAAAAGCAAAGTAAAAAAAGCTTCGGTTTGCTGAGAATTGACTCATTTATGTACTATTTCTTTTCATCTTATCTGATGTTTGGTCCCTTTGAAAAACTCCCTCAAGTTATTATTTTGTATCTCCACTTGCATATTGCTTTTGGCCAGAGAAACATAAAAATAAAGCTAAGAGTTTCTGTCTGAAAAAGAGCACAGAAATAAAGTTGTTTGATATTTACAAATAACCTCCTGGAATGCCAACACCTTGGGCTTTAACCTCTCCCTTCCCCTACAAAATTCTTTGTGGCAGGAATGCTGTGACCAGAGGCAGAAACTCGAAACCTAACTGGGCGTCAGGCTTGCTCGGCTGTGGGGAGAATCTTGCACCAGGGTCGCCATGGCTAAAGATGGTTACAAACTAAGTGGATTGCTTTGCCAAAAAGTCTGGAGGAGCTTGTAGGAAAACAGATTAAGAAAGACTTTATCATCGGCCAGTGGCTGTCAGACAGTAGGTTGTGACATTAACAACAACAAAAAAGACTTGGAGATCATGCAGGAACCATCAGGGCCCGAGGCTCCCTGGCTCACATCTCCCACCTGCTAAAGGCCAGGTCAGTTTCAAGTCAGAATTTAAGGATCAACAGAGAAAGATGTGCGTAATGCAGCACGGAAAGAGTGTGAATCTTGAATGAGTTTCATCATTTATAAAAAGGGGACAATGTGACCTACCTTACAGGGTTAAATGAAGTAGCACATGGTATGTGACAATTTTTCAAGGTATTAGGTTTTTTTTTCCTGGTTATTGAAAGATAAGCGAAACCCGAACCTAAGAACTCAACAAGGGCCATTTATTGAAGAATTTTAGGTAAAATAAAACACAAAAAGGTGAGTGAAATAAAACACAAAAAGGTGAGTGTGGTGGCTCACCCCTATAATCCCAGCACTTTGGGAGGCTGAGGCGGGAGGATCGTTTGAGGCCAGAGCAACGTAGTAAGACCCTGTCTCTACAAAAAATAAAAATGTTAGCCAGGCGTGGTGGTGCACACCTGTAGTTCCAGCTACTTGAGGCTGAGGCAGGAGGATTGCTTGAGCCCAGCAGTGCCAGGATGCAGTGAGCCATGATCGCAATTGCACTCCAGCCTGGGTGACAGAGTGAGATCCTATCTCAAAAAAACAGCAACAAAAAACCCCAAGACCAAACAAAGACAAAATAGTTTACAGAGAAAGATGTAAACCTGCATGAGTAATTCATCT